AACATGTACTAAACATGAGTGGAATTTGCACCGCAGCGCCCACACCTTGATGCTCATGACAAGAATAGCATGTATAGTTATCTTTATTGCAGTTAATTAGGTTTAAATCGCCGTCATGCATGAATAAATTATATTTTTGCAATTTTACACATAATAATACACTATGATCACATTACACAAAACTGAAATTGCACGTCAAAATAACACAGTCAATATTTTTTGAGACCCCCCAAAATTTCACAAATCACGTTTTCAGGGGAGCCCATGTCTTATTAAGGGGAGCCGAGCTCCCCGTAGTTCGCACCCTACAAATGCAGCTTCCGTGCCGCCTCTGCAGTGCAAAGATACATTTTTTTGTTAGTGATTACATTTGTTTGGTAACAGCTCTATATAGTGTCTCTTTATTATATATAGCACCAGTAAACACTAAAGCTAGTCTTGTGCATGCTTGTGTTGTCACCCATTGTCATTTTTTTCAGAAGAAGCGGCCCTAAAGCTGAGATCGCTTTAATGCAAATTAGCAAGCAACGGAAAGGCAATTTAAGTAGTCAGGGGGGTTAATGAGCTTGTCCAGGGCTCTGTGCGTAACTCTGTGTAGTTCGCACCCTACAAATGCAGCTTCCGTGCCGCCTCTGCAGTGCAAAGATACATTTTTTTGTTAGTGATTACATTTGTTTGGTAACAGCTCTATATAGTGTCTCTTTATTATATATAGCACCAGTAAACACTAAAGCTAGTCTTGTGCATGCTTGTGTTGTCACCCATTGTCATTTTTTTCAGAAGAAGCGGCCCTAAAGCTGAGATCGCTTTAATGCAAATTAGCAAGCAACGGAAAGGCAATTTAAGTAGTCAGGGGGGTTAATGAGCTTGTCCAGGGCTCTGTGACAGATTTTTAAATTGGGTCACCCTCGGGTCATACCTGAATTCTGGACAGGAGGGATTGGATTAGAGCCAAGGCTCCTGGAAGGCCACTCTTGAGGGGTTTCCACCAGCAGGTGGGTTAAATTGATAGCGGTAACCATAGTAATGTCTGATGGCATGGCATTTGGTATCTTTGAGCTCCCCCTGTTTTGCAGTTGGAAGGTATCCTGAAAATACATGAAGCCATCCTTGATGAACTTTCATTCCAACATAACCCTCTCCTAAATCTGTTATCGTAAAATCTAAATTATAAAGTCACTCTTGTTAGTTTCCTCTGAAAATGTTTTTGTATGAGATTAGTCATGTTTGATAAGCATGTCTAAGAGTTGCTTTAAGATGAAGTAGCATGTGTCTGACTAATTGTCAGACTTGTGAAAAAGGACGTGTGGGGTGTTTGATAAGACAGGAATAGAAACACCAGAGGAGACTATGTGGTGCCGGTGCTGTTGAGTTGTGGGTACCAACGGGTCACATCATCCCCTTAGACCACCATCTTCATCCCACAGTCTTTCAGGGCTTTATAAAGTGGGATCTGGCAGCCCTTTGCCTCATCCCTCTGACGCCAGACCCATTAGATTAGAGCTTTATAGGGAAGAGCGTATGGGACTCTTCTCTCTTCATGAAACTGACTTTCTCTCAGTCGGGAACCTGAAACTTCAGCTTTTTGTAAAAGAAACCATTACCGTAAACACTGTGGGATATGGTTGTTAAACTTGTACATGTATTTCAGCAGGCAATCTCTATGTGAAAAATGTGATCCTTCAAGCAGTCTAGTGGTCTGAAAATAGTAGAGTATATAATCATTATGTACCATAGTATATAATAATTTTATATTGTATAACCAGCTCTAGTAAATCTTTATTGAATGTGCAAGCTCAGCTGCTAGGCACTAGGGTTGCAAAGGGGTATTGATAGGTGAAACAACAAACAAAAATCCCTGGAATATAAAAAAAAAAAATCCTGGAAAGTTTCCAAAATTTCTGGAATAGTTCCGAAATTTACTGGAAATTTTCCACCTTTTTGCAACCCTACTAGTCACTGTAAAACACTAAAGCAATTTAAGGTAAGTACACTACCATTAAAAAGTTTGGGGGCTGAACATTTTTTTAAGAAGTTAATACTTTCATTCCTCAAGGACACTTTAAATTGATCAAAAGTGGCAGTAAAGTGTTTGTTACAAAATAATTATATTTTAAATTAAATGCTGTTCTTTCAAACTTCTGCTCATCAAGGAATCCTGAAAAAAATTACTGTTTCCACAAAAAAAAAAAAGCAGCACATGGCTGCTGAAAATTCTGCTTTGCCATAACAGGAGTGAATTACATTTTAAATCAGATGAATCAAAGTGAAGATGGCCCATTTTAATCGCATGTTTTTTTTAACTATTCCAAGGAAATTTTCGATATAGAAACTCCTTTCAGAAAGCTGATGCATGTTGAATTTCTGCATGATTAGTAAATGAAGAATTTGTGATCTTTGTAAAGTGTCTAATAATTTTTCCAATTTCATTGCCAGATAATCTCATCAAATCACCACTTTTCAGAGCTGGATGATAATGAGAAATCAAGTGTACTTTTGTGTCATTTGCTTGTAAATGACATGATTTGCTCTCAAGCTTTCAAACAGAACCTGCCATCCTCTGTGCAAACAAATCACTTGGATGTGATCTAGTTTTCCGCCTAGTTCAGTGTAGCCGCATGTATCTGTTTTGATGAATATGAGCATATAGGCTTGTTTGTTAGTCTTTTGGATTATTAAAACTTGAGAGGTAATTGGAAAGTATTTCTCAGGCCGAATATGGCCCACGGATCTGATGTTTGAGACCCCCTGCCTCAGAGCAAATGTTCATCTCGGGTAGAGTAAATTAGATCCATGTGGATATTATATTGTCAATCATCAACTCTGTGAGATTTTGAGTGTATGGGCTAATTTGAGCCATTCTCCACCACTCATTGAAAATGTTATACACATGGCCTTTTCAGGGTCATGGGGGTGTTGAGTCAGGGTTCAGCTATGGTTCACATTAACATGGACATGATGTGGCAACAGCAACATGGTCATGCTGGCCATGTGATTGACATGCTTTTTGTACTGTCTAAGGCTCGGCCAGCAGGTCTCAAACTCTCTCTGGGGATCTCTAGATTGCTCTGGCAGCCGGCTCATTTTGTGTGTATAATCACTTTCTGAGTGCCCATGACTTGCAGGGTCGTTTAACTTCCCCACATGAGCTGACCCTATAGGGTCAAGGGTTGCATCAGTCAAACAATGGGAAGCCCGTGCTTCCTCTTTTGTAAGCACTGTTGGGGTGACAGCATTGATAGACCATTGCCACAACATTTTCTGGTCTGTGAACATGAATCAAATGTGTTGATGTCTTACATAACTGATGTACATTTGATGACCAGCTTAAATTTTTAAAAACTGAAAATTGGAAAATGATTTTTTTTGCTTAAAATTACATTTAACCGTATCAGGCAATTAGTAGTGTTTTTTTTAAAGATTAACGTTGGTTTAAATATAAAAATGTAAAAAAGAAAAAAAAAACTCTAATATTGTCCTGTAACCGATATGGTACCAATATGTCATGGATCACTAAAAATAATAATAATTATTAAAAAAAAAACGCTATCTGTCAATAAAGCCTGACATTTTTCTCTTAAAGGGGTCATATGATGCGATTTCAAGTTTTCCTTTCTCTTTGGAGTGTTACAAGCTGTTCGTGAATAGATAAGATCCCTAAAGTTGCAAAGACTAAAGTCTCAAACCCAAAGAGATATTCTTTATAAAAGTTAAGACTCGTCCACGCCCTCCTAAAACGTCTCATTTAAACACGCCCCCACATGTCTACGTCACTTTGTGGGAAGATTTGCATAACATCGCACAAATGTTCACGCAAAGAAAGAAGGCGTAACTTTGATTCTCGCTGTAGTATTTTTACCGCAGCCGCCAAGTTGTGGAGACGCTGTGTGTTTCGTTGTGAAAGCGAAACTACTAAGTTTGGCCTTCCAAAAGAAGACACAACTAGAAATCAGTGGTTAAGTTGTATTTACAACACTGTTCCAGAACAGTTCAACCCAAATATTCAGATATTTTACGGAGGACAAGGACTGTTTGCTGGGAGAGTAGCCTACAATGCACCGGCAATTGATGTTCTGTCAAATAATGCTGACTCACAAGCCTGTAAGTACGTTTTCATATTTAAAGGATTTGCCACTGATGATTCAAACGCGAGTTTTGAGCAGTGTAGAGTAGCGCTTGTTATTTGTCGTTTCTCTGATCACAAATGCAGACATGGTTTTATGTTTACACGGCGTGATGCAACGCAACGTGTAAAAAGACAGTATAAGTCATTATAATCCGTAATTATGTCCCCACTGGATGCTACAAATGCCTCGTTTATAATGGATTTACTGGTTTTGTCTCGTCGCACCGGGACACGGCATCACAGTATGGTAAGGGGCGTAACATTTCCGTCACATGCTTGAGGTATTCGGCCAATCACAACGCACTGGATAGCTGGCCAATCAGAGTATACCTCGCTTTTCAGACCCCGATGAGCTTTATAAAAATTTACGCGTTTCAGAAAGGCGGGGCATAGAGGAGAAACAATAATGTACAGAATGTGGAAAACCTTAAACACATTTCACTACACCAAATACACAAAACAATGTTCTTTTTTATCAACGTCATATGACCCCTTTAAGTAATTTTTTTTCCCCACTTAACAGATCTTTTCACTTTTATGCTCAGTTGTTCATGATATCATAAAACAAACATATTGAAAGAACTTTACAATAGATCTGTAACTAATTTTGCTGCTGAGAGTGGGATTTCTGTCATCGGTAAGTGAAGAGCAGGAAATGGAAAACCCGGAGTGGAGCTAGAGTGGAGTGATTATGGAACGCTTTGAGCAGGGAGGGGAAATTGCTGTCACTCCACAAGCTTATTCATTATATTGCTTTGATTTATCTAATCAGCTCCATTCCGACAGTGTGGGATACAGTTTTGATCTTGTGAGTTGACGCATTATTGACCATTTCTCAGTGTTTTGAACTGTTTTTCTCCTCTTTGTTCTTCAGACAAAGAGTCTCTGATCACAGACAGCGGGAAGCTTCACACTCTAGACCTGCTGCTGACTCGACTGAAGTCTCATGGCCATCGAGTTCTCATCTACTCTCAGATGACCCGCATGATAGACCTTTTAGAGGTGAGTGCTTCCAGGAACTTCTCACAGTCGGTGACTGACAGCTCTGTGGCCTGTGAATATTATGTAGCTACGTTGTGACACGTTTTTTCCTTTAACCTTCAACCGTTCCTTCATGTCCACAGAAATCTGTCTGTACTGAAGCGATGGTAGATATCTGAGGTCACGCTGTACATGTTTTTGTTTACCTGTTCGTTGTACTTCGAGTGTTAATCCCACAAAAGGAGAGCTGGCTAAATTTGATCAAGCGTTGTGAAAGAAATGTTTGCTGTTAAATAGCCTCATATTGTTAAAGCTGGACAAAAGCTGAGAGAAGAGAACTGGAGGAAACAAACACTTTATCCAGAGGCACACAGTTGTTTGCCACATGTTCAGCAGCAAGCCAGACATGGAGCTAAAAGTAGAAGCCTCGAATAACATTGTCAACATAGTCCTACACAACAGCGCTCATAGTCTACTCTAGAAACACCTTCTTAGAGTCAATACGAATTCTTTCCGATTCATTTTGGCTCAAGCGTTTTTCATGGCAGTCTCTTTAAAGTCTGATTACGAAGATTCAACTTCCTTTATTTGTGAAATAGTTGGTCTATAGAAAATGTTAAGCATGGGAAAACATTGCATCAAACTTTGGGTTTGATTGGCCATTACTTTTGGCATAGACATGTATATCTACACCTTATATTTTTACTTTAAGTCAACATTAAAATCTTGATTGATCCTATTTTCTTTTTGGATACACATTCCTGGTCTTATTGTGAACGATTCATCAGTGCACGCAATTCAAAAGAAAAAAATGTTTGGCTTTACATTCTTTCATCAAAATGTAATAACTCACCCCGCCTCTGAAATGACTTTCCTTTTCAGCTGGCATCACATATTTGTCTTATTTTTCAACCCCTCTAGTTTGTGATGGATAATATATTATTCACAATGTCCTGCTCTTTGAATAGAAATATGTCACAATATACAGTGGTGTGAAAAAGTGTTGGCCCCCTTCCTGTTTTCTTAAATCAGGAAGGGGGCCAACACTTTTTCACACCACTGTATATAACCATTCTAGCTTCATAATGTGTATAATAAACTTTTCAAACAAGGGAGCCCTTCCTAAAATATAAAGGAAGCTATATATTTTCATTTATAAAGACCTATATACTATAACTAATTTTATTCAAAACAAGTTGCAAAGTATATGTATCCAAAATTAAATAATTGCCACTGAAATTAAATATAATAATATAATCCAGAAAATATTTATCTTTTTTTTTTTCTGTTAAAATGTTTAAATCATTCAAATGTTTTAAAAATATTAAACAATGTTTAATTAATTTCCATCTTAAGTTAATATGTTAACTTTGACAGAAATGCATTTCCCCCTAAGTTTTCTGCGGACACCCTAGAGCCCCTCGTAGGTCCCTGGAACCCCGTTTGAAAACCCCTGCTCTGAATCAGTATATTCTCTGTGCAGAAGCCGAAGATTGTCAAGTCTTGTCTCCTTTGATATTGTGTTTCTCCAAGCAGATCCCTTGAGTGTTTTGGTCAAGTTTTTTTTTATTATGTGTTCATTAGCTTAACTCCCACTTGAAGTTTGTTCAAGCATTTTCCGGGCTTTATTCCTAAGTCTCAGGCTAAATTATGCTATGTTGGAGTTATAACCTGAAGTAATATTCTCAGCGGTGTAATGCAGTTTAAGATGGTCCCATTTGTTCCTTACAGCTGCAGGGAAGCTTGGGATTTGTGATCTAATGTTACTTCAGGCTGGAGCAGAGTCCTAATCAGATACATTTAATGTCAGAGAGTGCTAATGCTCACTTCATACGGTCCAGATGTGCTTTTGGGAGGCCATCCAGTGGAGTCGAGACTTCACTCTGGGTGGCGTAGGAGAGTGGGAAATCATCTGAGAAAAGTCTCTGAGAAGAGTCTGCAATGCTAATGAAGATCTGTGGTGGTGTGTTCAGGGGGACATTATTAAAAAAACAGCCCTGCAGATTTTATGAGAGGATTAAAGTGAAATAGACACACCAGTTTCACTTTTATCGTTGACTTGTTTGCCTGCATGATTTTCCATTTTCTTACTTGAAATGTTTCTCAACTGTCCTGCAGGAGTACATGGTGTACCGCAAGCATACTTACATGAGACTGGATGGTTCATCCAAGATTTCGGAGCGGCGGGACATGGTGGCTGACTTCCAGAGCCGGTGAGTTTTTAGCTAGTTTTCAGCGGCCTGACAGCAAGGATTGAAAAGGAGACGCACATGTCCGTAAGTGCCCGTATCTTCTTAAACCTAATTGGGGCTTGTTTTTCCAAAAAAAATGTCTGTGCTCTTACTCCCAGATTGAGTCAGCCAGTCATATAAGAGCTTGCCAGATTACAGAAAATACTTTTCCATTTTGTGTACAATAATGCATCAGATGGTCAGTGAATTGACTATGGAGGTGTTCAGTCTGAGACATAAACATTATTTGAATTATATGTGCAAGAACTAAAAATGCCATCTGTGGAATAGCCATGAATGAGTTCATAAGAGGAGATCATTTCATGTGACTAAGGTGGCCATTTCCTCTTTTTCCAGGTTATCTTCTACGACAGTGACTGGAACCCCACAGTTGACCAGCAAGCTATGGATCGAGCCCACAGACTAGGACAAACCAAGCAGGTCACTGTCTATCGGCTTATTTGCAAAGGGACAATTGAGGAACGCATCCTACAGAGAGCCAAAGAAAAGAGTGAGGTTAGTACACAGCATCGAGTCCCTTCCTTGGGCCAGAAGGTTACACAAAATAAAATGTAGCACTTAATTCAGCTAATACTGCAATGATTAGACAAATTACCCCTTTTTCCCTCATAGCTTACATCATCAGTTACAAAAACTATATTTATCTAAATGTCAAACCTCAGAAGAGTATTTGCAGTGACAAGGGGGTTAAAGGAATATTTAGCCCATGGTTTTAACTGCAGTTACAACTAATTATACTGTAATTGCATATGTGCTCTAAACAAACATGTAGTCCGGGATGTCTGTATCAACACATCATTATAGTCAGTATATGTTTCCAAGAGTCAAATTTTCTCCTCTTTCTGCTCTTACTGATTTGATTTATTTATTCTGTCTCAATAATCACTTTCTGCTGTGGGATCTGCACTTCAGATTCAGAGGATGGTAATATCAGGAGGAAATTTTAAACCTGACACCCTGAAACCCAAAGAGGTGGTCAGCTTGCTGCTGGATGATGAGGAGCTGGAGAAAAAATGTGAGTTACCACTCCGTTTATGATAATAAATGCATATGTATAATCTAAGTTAGTAAATGAATTAATTGCTTGGCTCTGATTGGATGGTTTGGTTGTGTTTCCGGGCAGTGCGTTTACGGCAGGAAGAGAAACGGCAGCTGGAGGAGAGCAGTAAGGTGAAAGAGCGGAAGAGGAAGAGGGAGAAGTATGCAGAAAGGGTAAGTTCCCTCATAGAGGTATAAAGTGATGAAGAATCTACTTCCTGTGCAGTGGTTTTCAACAATAGTAATATATATTTTTCAAAAAAAAAAAAATATATATATATATATATATATATCAATAAATGTCCTTGTGGTAAAGAATATAGTTGTGCACTAGATCAGTGTTGTTATTGTTCACTAAAACTTAAAAAAATTTGGTAATTTAAATACAATAATATATATAT